GACAGTATTTGTGCCAATTATAAAATTTAAGCTTTCAAGTGAAACTTAGAATTTTGAAAAACTTCTATCTACCACTGAAAGCTTGACAGCTTTCCAATACTTAAAGATTTTCTGATGAAATTGGTGGTGATAAAAATGAATGTGGTTTTTGACATTGTATAATGAAATATGTCCACATTTAGAAAATCTGTAACCTGTATTTCCCAAATGACCAATGCATGATGATATCAAATCCTGCATGGACAGCACATCCATTCAAACTTCAACAGAGACTGATAGATTTTAATGTGGCAGAGCATACAAATTTTCACTTGGAGGATTTCAAATCCCACATTTCAAATAACCTTTAAGAGTCAGGTTTTGGTGTCATAGCAAAGAGTAATAACAACAGTTATCTGATTAAACAGTATTAAAACAATCCTCTCTTTCCAACTACCTATTTATGTGAGGGTTGGATGTTCATCACATACTTAATTCCAAACATTCTTTCCCTAAGAATTGAATGCAGAAGCAGATATGAGAATCTACCTGTCTTTTTGGCCAGACAGTAATTTGCAAAAATGTAAAATGTTGTTATTCTATTTTGTTGAGAATAATAATAACTTTTCATTTCTAAAAAAGTATATTAATGATCTTATTACTTTGTTATGGTGAATCATAAGTGATTCTTTTCAACGTTCTTAGTTTAAATTTTGAATTTTAAATACCAATAGATAAAAGCTACATGGTAAAAATTCTTTCAGCCCTACCTTAATCGTTAGTCTCAAGAGGTCCTGGGGTCAGAAAGTATGAGAACTGCCAAACTAGAAGGTAACACTCATACTGGTGGGCAGACATGAAGAACTGTTCCCTAACCCACCCCAGGCTGTCTCTGCATCCTCACTGCTACTGTCTCCCAAGCACCCCTAGCCTAGCTGTCTACTTACTGATTTCTGCTCGTTCCTGACTTTGCCTAGGCCATTTTTCTACTTAGAACACATGCTCCTGCCCACTTCACTGCCTGTTCTGGGGGTTAGTGGGTCAGCGCTATCTTCTCAGCACCAGGGCCTGTGAATGGAAAGACTCACTGAAACTCAACTTCACAGTGTGTTTATGGATATACTCTGCATATAGCCTTCAGGATCTGTTTGTTTTCCTTAATTAGAATTCCTGGTGTGTGAAGGATCCAATTTTCTGTTTTACATTTTTGCCATCTAAGGGCCAAGTGTGCTGCCATAAACTTTATGGGATTTAGGTAAATATCAGTTGATAATTTCTAGTGATATTTGTAAGCTTTTATGATCTCATGCCAATTAATCGGAGTATTTAGTGTCTTCTGTGGGCATACCCACCTGGCACCTGGGGGAGGGGGCTAAGGAGGTGACTTTTTTCATTAAACAATTTAATGAAATGGATGATGATGTTTGCTTGAATCTAGATCAGTGCTTTCAGTGCCACTTCAGGCTGACTGCACTGAGCTGGCTTTTCAGAGCCCCACAGACTTAAGAAGGTGATTCCTGCTTAAGGACCTGCACTGTGGTTGGAGAGACAGGATTTATAGCTCAAAAGCAACCAAACAAGACATAAGAAAGTACATCACCAAAGGATCAGGTGCTGTAAGTCTTTAGAGGAGAGGAGGTAGGTGTGTGAGGGCACAAATGTAATTAGGTGTCTAGAGCAACCACAGAAGTCTTCTGGGAGGAGGGAGGGACCCGCAGAGGGTTGTTAAACAGGGAGGGTTTAGTTAGAGGTCATCAAGGCAGGGATTTCAGGTCAGTGAATAAATGCGAGCCAAGGCAGAAGTAGCGATGAGCACAGCATGTGCACCACCTAATGAGAAGACTGCTGACCACAGTGAAGGTGAATGGGGCGAAAGGAGAAGGCTGAAAGCCAGTCAGAGGAGTTTAGGCTGGATGTGGAGGGAAAGAAGGGACAGGGATTTTTGGTTAGGGAAGGGACACAGTGTTTTCTGAACACAGAGTGAGTGATTTGTGAGCAGACAAGAAGACAGAGGGCATCTAGTTCATGACCCATAGGCGGTGAGGCTCTGGATGGCGGTCAGCAGGGTCTTTTGAAATGTATTACATGCAGGTGACCACATCTGGAAGGCCAGCTCTCTGCCTTTAAGTGGGAATGTTTTGTATTACAGGGGCATGGACAGTAAGACCCCACAAAATAAAGCGTTAGTGACACTATTGGGTCTTGGCAATTGTGACTGATTTAGAGTTGAATTCTTTTGTCTTAGCCCTTCCTCTTGTCTTATTGTGTCAGCCACTAACTGTGTGTGGTTTGGAGAAAGTTACTCAACTCCTTGACATCTTGATTCTGTCATCTGTAAAACAGGGGAATTAGTAGTACCTCTCTCCCAGGCTTATTATGAGAACTGAGTTGGTATCTGTAAAGTGCCTGGAGTAGAACCTGTCACATAGGAAGTCTTAAAAATATTAGTTGCTACGTATTCATTGGGCAATTCACATTATTACGGCAATATAAATATTTAACTCAGGCCAAAGCATCCCAGAGTTATGCAGAATCAAGGCTCTCAAAACAAAGCAAAGATGAAAAATACTTGCTGGACACACTGCAAAGATGGTACTCATCGTGAAGACATGAAAAACTTTAATTCTATAAACTCATTAAGATTTAGAGTGTAGAACCTAGTCACTCAAGTCTTGATTTAATCAAGCCGCTGCCCAGCAAACGCACCTTCACTGGCGTCTGCTGCAGAGGACATGGATCTGGCCGCCTTTACAAGCCAGCCAGCCTCTCCCACAGGAGGTGGCTTCCCAGCCTCTCCTCCCCAGTGCACACTGTACCGCTCTTATCTTAAACATAGCCCACCTTGTATGTCAGTGTCTTGTGCCCGTCATTCCTACTCGAGTTAGTTCCTCTCACCCCATCCATGCCCTATAAAATTAGGCCTGTTTTTAATAAGCTGTTTAGAGCAGTTTCTATTATTTTATATCTCTGTAAGTGTGATACATGTTATGGCTGATGAACCAATATGGAGGGAAGTGTTATTCTTAAAGCCCATACTTTGCATTTGGGTTGTGTTGTGCAGTGTTATAAGTTTTGACAAAGGCGAATGTCCTACAGCAGTGATGCACTTTCAGGGATACAAACAGCACCCTGTGGCACACGTGCCATAAGTTCACCCCTTTGTCCTACAGCTACAACTGCAGTGTGGCAGGGGACAGCTTCACTGCTCTAGGATTGCCCTGTGTCCCACCTGTTCTCTCTCTCCCTCAGCTTTAACAATCAGTTAAACTCCCTCAGTTGTCATTAACCCCTTTGATGCTTGCATAGTACGTGCCTCATACTTGTTATCGCTCTTGTGTTCTGTATTGTAGAGAGATATTTCTCTTCTGTCCCTAGATTGTCCTTGAGAAAGGAGATGTGCCACATATTAGTCCTCACAACACCTAGTCCAAACGACTGTCCTTAACAGGTGCCTGACTGCTCGCTGAACTGAATTGAATTAGAATGGGATTTCGCAGACACGGTCTCAGGAGACAAGACTTTAAACCTAGAATTCTGAAAGTAGTATGTATACTTGGGGGTTTCCTAAGTGCTTCCTGGAAGTGTAAGTTCTTTGACCTATAAATTCTTCTATCCTTCCAGATTTTGGCTAAGAAGCAGCCAAAGGTGATGTGCACGAGGCCAGCTTTGTATGACTGTTGGGCCATGGGGCTGTACCTGTACTCTGTCCAAATACACACACACACACACAGATTGTTTCTGACGGTCCAGACGAGACACCCCTCGAAGGATGGGCCCTGGACAGTCTTCTGTCTGGTCCACACTCACTCTTCTCAGGCTTCCTCCAACAGCCAACTTTATTCACGCTGCGCTTTTTGCTTCAAAGACACTGTTCCTAAACGTTCTAAAACGCTGGAGGAACAAGCAGATCGGAACAAAGGCAAATAAATTGAATCCTGTGAAGTAACAAAGCAGACACCCTTCTCCAACAGGCAGCACAAAGCTAAATGAAAAATATCAGTCATCCACCAGATCCCGTGTTCTCCCTCCAGGCAGGCGAGCCGCTGGCAACCTCTCCCACCCTAAACAGGACACAGTGAAGGCGTGAAACGAACTCAGCATCAGCTCCCCGGCGGAGCCACAGTTTCGCCAGCCTCGTCTATATCTGAGCCGCTCCAGCGGTTTGCAAGACCTTGGCTTTTACTTCTCTGTACCTGCCTGCAAACACACGTGGGGGTGGGGTAGTGAGAGGCGAGGACAAGGGAGCGCGCCAGACCCAGGGCCAGGGGACCGGGCGGCAGGGAGATGTGGGCACGGGTCAGAGCTGAGGACGGTTACCTGGGGCGCTAGGTTTCCCGTCCAGAGCAGGGACCAGCCCCCGCCAGCCCCCGCAGCCCAGCGCCCGAGGAAAGCTCGCGGGGAGAAGCCTGCCTGGCTCGGGCGCTCAGGGATCCGCGCAGAGCTCGCTGCGGAGGGTGCGCCCGCCCGCCCGCCCGCGGGCACCTGTGCCCCGGGGGCGGGGCCTCCTCCAGGTGCGCGGGGCGCGGGCGGGCGCCGGGCCGGGGGCGCGCGCTGCAGGCCGCCCCCTCCCGGGCAGGGGGCGGAGCGGTTAATCCGCACGCGGGCGCCGCCTGCCTTCTTCTGGAGCCGGGGGAGAGCGCTCGCCGCGGAGCCGAGGGGGTTAAGCGGGCCGCCCGAGGCCGGAGCGCGGTGAACTCCCGGGCGCCCGCGGGTCCGCCGAGCCAGGCCGGGCGGCGGCCCGAGTCCCGCGCGGTGGCCGCCCGAGCGCGCGGGCGGAGCTGGCAGAGCCCGGCACGGCCGCCTGCCGCTGGGGTGCGGCGCGGGAGGCTCGGGGCGCGCGGGGGGAGGGCGGGGACGGCGGCGGCGGGCGCGCAGCGTCGCCAGGGCGAAGCCGGCGTGCGGCGCGGCGCGGCGGGCGCGGAGCGAGCGGCGGGCGAGTGCCTCCGTCCCCGGATGTGAGCTCCGGCTGCCCGCGGTCCCGAGCCAGCGGCGGCGCGGCGGCGGCGGGCTCCGGGCACCGAGCACCGGGCACCGCGGCGGGCGGACGGGCGACGGGCGGCATGGGGGGCGCTCGGAGCGGCCCCGGCGGCCGAGCCGGTACCACCGCGGCGTCCCTCCGCTAGAGGAGGGACCAAGCCAATTCTCCTTTGCAGCAAAAAATTGCATGTATATATTACTAAGATAATATATACATCGGATTTTATTTTTTAAAAAAAGTTTATTTTGCTCCATTTTTGAAAAATCAGTGTGGGTGGGGAGCGGTTTTTATAAATTATCCTTATTTTCTGTTATTTGTCCCTGTCCCTCCCCACCCCCTGCTGAATCTAGAATCAGGGCAGGGACCGCGGCTCCTACCCATCTGTAACCCCCTTAACCCATTCCTCCCCCGCCCTAACGTCCAGCACGGTGCCCTGCACACAGTAGGCGCTCAATAAATGTTCGTGGATGATGATGATGATGATGATGAAAAAAATGCAGCATCAACGGCAGCAGCAAGCGGACCACGCGAACGGTGAGCAGCCAGAGCCTGGGCACCCACTGCTAAGTCTAATCCTTGTCATGGTCCTCCTCTTCCCACCCCCTGTGCCTTCCCACTGCCCCCACCCCCACCTTTGAGGCGCTGGATGGGTTGAGGGGGTTGGAGAGGATGCTTCCAGTTCTGTGTCATCTCTGTAGAAAGGGAAGATGCGTGACAGCCACTCGGTTCTCCCCTTCAGGCCCTGAATGTCAGGGTTATTCTGCATTTGTGGGGTGGGGGCGGCCGTTGAGTGTACCGAGTGCGGTGCAGCCAGGGGGTTGGTGAGTCGAGGTGTTTCAGGTTCAGTGTCCTCGGGCTCAACTTTCCTCCAGCGCCCCCAGGGATGGAAGCGGGAAGCGGTTAGTGTTCCGCCTGAGCCCCTTTCAGGCTTTTCGCCTTCCCCTCCTCCCCCCATCCCCTGGTTGACTAGGAAGAAGGTCCCTGGTGCCATCCCAGAAAATTCTGGGATTGTCCATTTTTGCCCTTCGCGCCGATGGGTGAAGTGCACGACACCTCCTTTAGTGGGGGAGGCCGGGTCTTGGAATCTGGGAGCAGGGGGTCGGGTGGAGCGCCTATTCCTGCTCCCAGCGCCTCCTGTGCACACGTCCTCGGTAACCTAGCAATGCCCGGGAAGTCGCAGCTGCTGTGGGGCTGTCAACCCAAGCCTTGGCTGGGGCACCACGTGCAGTTTCCACGCTTGCCCAGGATGGGTCGAGTGAGGCTGGAGCAGCTACTGGCCAGCCAGAGCCCTCCAACCCCCCACATCGCTGGCACCCCCAACCCCTGTAGGCTGGAAGCCTTTCCGGGTGAGCGCTCCCCAAGGGAAAAGCTTGGCACACTCATCCCTGGGCACAGATTGTCTGCTGCCCGTCTGCTTTGCTCCCTTCTCAGGCTTGCTAGGCAGACAGACCTGTGCTTGCTTGGCTTCTTTGCTTAGCCATAATTGGTTTTGCAAATGCCTATCCCACTACCTCTCTGCCATCTCTCTCACTTTGACTTCTACCTGAGCAAAGAGGCTGTGGCCCAATAGGCCCAATGGGAGACCTGCCTGGGAATGGCCTGACCCCAAGTGGTAGGGGCTTCACAGATAGAACCCCCCTGGAATGTCTGCCTCGTGTGCACCTGGGTGCCAGCCTATACTTGAGATGATTCTCACTGGGCCTTGGGAACCCCAAGCATTATCCATTATGTCTGTCCGAGGTGCAAGGGTGCAGGCTGACTATCTGGATGCTGGCTTGGCTGCTGCTGCTGCTGCTGCTGCTGCAATTTAAAATGCAAAAAAGCCCTAAAGATGTTTTCTGTTTTCGGAAGCTCCTGAAGGAAATGAATCCCAACCATCATGAATTTTCATTTGCAGGAAGTGTAAGAACATAATCTAGATATTTGTTATGGGACTTTTGGTATTGCCCAGTGCCAATGAAAGATTTTTTTTCCCCCATGCTGGAAAAAAATGTATTTGTGGCTGTGGAAAGATGTTGGAGTAACACCCTGAAGATGATTAAGACTATTGAATTAATGGCACTGTTTTTTCTTGTGTGTATGTGTGTGTGATGTAGTAATTATTTTAGAGAAAAGCTGTTGACATACGTGTTAACTAATAAGAGATACCTTGACTTTTAAAGTCAGAAAAGATGTAGAATAAATGCGGCAGTGACCTGAGCTTATCTGAAAGAAATACTGTAAAGGACTCCTTGTAAAGATGTGGATGTGAAGGGGTACTAACTTGTTTGGGTATGGAGTAGTGATAATTCTGCGTGATTGACGTTTAGAGCAGAACTCCTGTGCACATTTCTTGCTGCTTCGCCTGACCAAATATCTGATTCTGAAAAATAGGACATGAGATTCAAAATGGGCCCACAGGAACACTTTCCTCGGTTACTGGTGGGAGACAAACTTTGCATTTTTTCTGCACGTACTGGATTGTAATTTTTTAAATCATTCTTTTTCTTCTTCACAGAGGCAAACTATGCAAGAGGCTCCAGACTCCCTCTTTCTGGTGAAGGACCAACTTCTCAGCCGAACAGCTCCAAGCAAACTGTCCTGTCTTGGCAAGCTGCAATCGATGCTGCAAGACAGGCCAAGGCTGCCCAAACTATGAGCACCTCTGCACCCCCACCTGTAGGATCTCTCTCCCAAAGAAAACGTCAGCAATACGCCAAGAGCAAAAAACAGGGTAACTCGTCTAACAGCCGACCTGCCCGCGCCCTTTTCTGTTTATCACTCAATAACCCCATCCGAAGAGCCTGCATCAGTATAGTGGAATGGAAGTATCCTTTTTGAGGGGAAGACTTTTCTCATTTTCTCTTTTACTGTCTGTTCTTTAGAAGGATTTGTTTTCTGAAATGACACAAAGCTGTAATAATCTGGAATGAGAGCAGAAGAAGAGGCTGTGTATCAGGGATTTCATGATGTATAACTTCCTTAACTCTTCAGGTTAAGAGGGTTTGCTCTGAAGGTATACAGAATTATTCTGTGTGTGTGTGTGTGTGTGTGTGTGTGTGTGTGTACATGCATGTGCATATGTGTGGTGTGGGGGAGAGTGAAGCCTGAGATTTTGAAGTGGTAGAGAGTTACAAACTTACCTTTAGTCATTGGATATTAGGGTTAGTATTAAATCTATACTTGTTCTTGGGCAGTGGTACCCATTAAACCTGTTGCAGATGAGGTATGCTGATTTAAAAAAAAAACTGAGATAGTGTACCAAGACTGCTAGAAGTGACCTTTAGTGGAATCTTCTCATTCTGATGTTTGAAATTTGCTTCTGAAACTACAGTTAATGCTAAATCTGCTTCTAGCTTGACATTTGGTGTTTCTAATTGTCCAGGTAGCTGCAAATGCGAACAATTTGCTTCATAAGGGGGGTATTTATTTATTTATTTACTTATTCATTTGTATTGTCAATGCCAGACTGTCTGGAATTTCCTTTTGACAAGTTGCAAAAAAGCATCTGAAACATGAGCATGAGGAAGCTAGCATAGGGAGAAGTCTGTCTGTGCCTCTTCCTCCTGAGCTCTTCTGAGTTATAGAACAGTTCTCTCGGTAGAGGAATTTGCAGTTGCTGCCTTCATTTAAAAAAAACAAAAACTTGTCTGCCTGTGTCCTTGGACTGACGTTATCTCTTGGGATGTCTCCTTTGTGTTCTTAAAAATGAGCTCCAAATATACCAGGATAGTAGTCATGTCCTAGGTCTTGGAAAACTATCCTGCTTCTCCTTTTTCCCAAAATCTGGAGACCATCCTTTAGAAAGGTGGTTGAAAGCCTTCTTTTTAAGAATGTAGCTTTCTAATTAGTTGATTTACTGGTCTGAGGGAACTAAAGCGATTCCTTTCTCCAGTGGGTTTTTGGGGCTAATAGGGGCCTTAGAGCTGCTCCTCACCATAATTAGGAGTATGAATAGGGTGTCCTCCAGGACTCAGAAAGATAGGCTGTGTTATAAGGGTGTAGCTAGAAACTGGGGCCGAAATCCCCTAATTATTTCTGTACCCAGAAAGATGGTTATTTGTATGCCCTCTGTGTATTTTCTCTGCTCACGGACAGAAGTTAAAATGAGGCAACTGTCTAGAAAGGTTTTGGACAGAGCAGCTGAATGCTAGGGTAGGATTTGAAGGGTTTTCATGTGCTTTTTCTTTTTAGAACAAATGTCTTTTCTCTAGAGTGAGTTATGGTGTCTCTCACATAGCTGTGGTTGTGTGTGTTTGTGTGTGTGTAAGTGTGTGTAAGTTCTTCTGTAGTCTGAGAATGGCATTCTCCTGTCAGGCCAGGAGGGAGCTACAATTTGGATGTGCCTCAGTGGCCTTCCTGGAGTCATGGGCAGCAGCTGCACTTCACAGAAAGATCTCCTCCTTAGATTGACTCGATGTGGCTCTGCGTAAGCAGGGACTTCTCAGTGTGGTCATTAATTTTATTTGGAGTGAGGTGGGAGGCCCAGAACGGTGTCTGTTTGTATACAGTAATTTGTACATAGCAATTTATGTGTACAGAATGAGTTCCTGGTCATTCTGCTGGCTCCCTTTCCCAAGTTGCCAGACACGTGTATACAGGAGACAAGGCATGTGGCTGCCAGTTAAGGGAGAAGTCTACTTATAAGTGGGACAGTTTGTAGAAAGGGAAGTTATTAAATCATATGTGATCTATTTGTTTTTTCAAATGATAAAATTCCCCCCATTTCAGGGAGCAGTCTATAGAAATCCTGTCCAAGCCAGAGCTTGTCAGGCCTAGTCAGCATGGGAAGGATGAGTCTGGCTTGTTATAAATGGCAAGGCAGAATGTTCTTAACAGAGGTGAGTGAGAGGTGTTCCTCTTAGCAGAAAGAATTGTTAGAATCAGCCACCTATATCTTGTGGCAGTGAGTTGGTATCCACAAATGCCTGTAAACTGAATTTGGACCAACATAAAGAAAAAAAAATATGCTTAGCTTTCCTGAGCAGTGTTAGTATTTCTCAGATTTGCAGTGGAAGTCTGAAAAGGGAGATCAGTAATGTGGCAGAGGGGAGAAACTAGTTGTGTTCCTGCAGAGGATAACTTTGAGGAAATTGACATGAAATTTCAGTGGGAACCTATTAAGGAAAAATGAAAAGAGAATTCCAAAGTCTTGTAAAGGTAGGCTGTTTTAAAGTTGGATCCCTGGATAAATGATTTTATAACACTAGATGAGTTAAGAGAATCAATATGGATTAAAGTTAACTAGCTTAAAAATAAACCCATCAAAGTTAGTCAGGGGATAATGTTATTCCTGTTCTTATTCCTGTGAGTTACCAAACCTCTTCAAAGGGGTTCAGGCTTTGTAAACCTAAGATATCTCCAGAGAAGTAAAGGGTATTTATTTCTTGCATCATTCTGGATTCCCCATGGTGTGTGAGAATAAGTAGAGAGTATAGTTCATATTCTTGAATCTTTAGTACTTTGAAGGATTTAGTTAAACCATGGCCTTTGCCTCATGAGGAGGTAGTATTGTAAAATCAAGCCCAGGAATTATAGATTAGGTTGGTGCTCATAAAACCCCATATTCAGAAAGGCCAAAAATCAAAAGAAGAAGAACAGTCATTCTGGTGAATCTCAAATTTTGTATCGCCAAGTTTGACAACCTGCGTCTTTTAATAACATCAAAGTGTTTTAGCTACTATCTGTTGAAGGCTGATCTCACAGTGATTCTTCCTGACAGACCTCCAAGATTTAAAATTGTTAAAGCCCACTTTGAAAGTGTCTGGTGCTGATTTCTTATGGCTTTTTAATTGAATGTTTTATAAATTGAATACAGCAACAGCACATTATAAACTGAGCTCCAGTCCAGCTCTAATCTGAAACAGTTATAGCTATTGATTAGCAGAGAAAGCAGAGGAGGGAGCTGAAGCCTGGCTCGCTTAACACAGCATCTGAGGTATTGGAACTTGCCATGAGAGAGTCCCAGGGAGAATGGAGGTCCTCCTGGCTTTGCTTGGTCTGATACAGCTAGGTGATCTAGACTGACCCAGCTTGGAATAGCCCCTGAGAAAATGGCTTAACACATGGAGGCAACGATCTGTGGAAGAGATTTACCTCATGATGCGTACTTCTCTGTGTCTGCAACAGCTGGGAATTTAGTAAGGCCCTTGGTTTTCTTTTTTTTTTTTTTTTTTTGTCTTTTTAGTTTTTATCGGTACCAGGGATCGAACTCACGACTGCCTGCTTTCAAGGCAGGCGCTTATGCCACTGAGCTAAATCCCCAGCCCCAGGCCCTTGGTTTTCAAGCTGTAAGAAGCAGAAACCTGGTTCATACTGTGCCCCAGTGGTGCTTATACTTTTAGGTTTTAATATATAGCGTGCAGAAGAATGAATGAATGTAATATGATCCTTGCAACAGAAGAGAAGGACAAGGAGAGGTCATTAGATAGGGCAGCCTATGTGAGATGGCCACTGATAGTTATTTCTGCCATAAATGTAGTAGTCAAAGCAATTAGTCCAAACATGATTTGTGTGTATTATTTTCATTTTAAAAGCAATTTAGATGTGCTATAATCTGGGGGTTGGTTTATGTTTGCATAACACATACGTACCTTAACAAAAATTTTCAGACCATTTGACATATTTATATTATTGGCTATTTTTGCCAATTGTGTGGCCTTAGCTATTTACATCCCATTCCCTGAAGATGATTCTAATTCAACAAATCATAACTTGGTAAGTGTCTGGAGAATTCTTGTTTATTGTGATATATGGTTCAATATCTTGGATGTTGCAATACATGGTGTGTCTCTGTATTTAAACTGAAAGCTGGGCACCAGAGATATGGCTCAGAGGCACAAATGCCTGCCTGGCAAGCGCAAAGTCCTGAGTTCAATTTCTGGTACCAAAAAGAAAAATAAAATAAACTGGTAGCTGGCTTTCTGAGTATTTGAAATTTACGTGTGTGATGTTTTTGCAGCTTTGCAATAATTTTCAGTTTTGCGTTTGTTTTTTTAACTTACATTTTCATTTTTACTAAATAAAAGTATTTTAAGTCATGAATCTTCTATAAATAGATGTGCAACTTTTTATGGAAGAGATTTGTAGCAAATTTTAAAATGATGTTTTTATCTACATGGCTTCTGCTGACTATCATGCTTTCCTGATAATCTTTTTTTAAAGCCGCTGTTATTCGGGAGTGGTGTGTACTTTGGTTATTTTTCCTGGTGAATGGAGAATTACAGATTTTGTGCATGAGATATTAATTTTTATAGAAGCAGAGAGCACTGAAACTAATAAGTTTATATAAAGCATGATTTGGAGAAGAAAAGGATATGATATTGAAGTTGTTATACTAAATTCTAGGGCTGGGGATTTAGCTCAGTGGCATAAGCACCTGCCTGGAAAGTGTGAGGTCATGAGTTTGATCCCTGGTACCAAAAAAACAAAACAAACAACCTCCCCCTCAATGTTCACACAAACTTGCTAAATTCTAGGAAATTCCCCAAATAAAATGAGGCTGTAGTTACAGACATCAGAGTAGTTCCATTTATTTATTGCTTTCTTAAAGATTTATAGTGGACATTAGCTGAGGAAAAGCTCTGTGAGGTTTTGCAGTTGAAAAACAGGTTTCATTTTTTTTTTTTAACTCAGCTGGGCCTTAAAAGTAATTGTACATTTTTGAAACATGTTTTTGACAGAAGACTTTAATATCATGGAACCAGTGTTCTTGGAACTTCCTTTGAGGATAATTGACATTGTTAAAAAAAAAAAAAAGATGCTAAAGTTCTAGACAGACTTGGAGCCCATCCTTACTCAGCTGTCAACTGATTGTATTTTGGGACATTTCTAAAACACTGTCTGCATTGCTGTTCACTCACTGGCGATTAAGGGGATTGGCCAAGATCACTAGCATTGCTTTACCTCTGATATTCTGTAGTTTTTCTTTAACGAGGCAGAATCCATTTCAGGATTTTTCTAGATGCTGTAGAATACTTCTTGTAAGGATAAGTTCTGTATAATGGGAGGCCATGCAGAAGGGTATAGGAAGGAGAGAACCAGTGCTGGATAACAGGAAACTCTGTTATTCTGATTCTGCCGCGTAGGTAGTTTCTCGTGTTGAATTGTATTTTAGCAGGGCTGGCTCTTCTTAACTGAGTGTTGTAAATGCAAACACACTTGGCTCTTTATAGTGAGGGGAGTTCTGCTGCTTGGAAAGAGTGAAATTATGCTCTTGTGAATGTAACCTTAATGGTTTATATACAGGATTTATTACATTTACAGTTTTGGGGCACAGTTTGGATGTAACATGGAGTCTGTTTGTATTTGGATTTTGGTAGTTTGTTTTCCAAAGGATTTTCAAAACATTTTGGATATTGTTGGAATTGGGAGTTAGATATACCTATAAACTTATTATTCGTATAAATTTATATTATGCTCAAGATTTGTATAACTTTGAAAATTTAAAATAGCTTTTGATATGGTTGCAGATGTGATATTAGATGAAGATTTTAAAGGAAAAGCAGAAGTAGTGAAAAGCTTTCCATCAATGGAGATAGATCATCGTAGTCTAGGCCACAGATGGTGTTAGCCTTGTTACCAAATTTAACAATGTAGATGATGACCCAGTTTGTTGCTTTTTGTAGCTCAAGAGAACATGATTAAACAAACTTAGAGAATAAATACCTTTCAGAAAGGCAGATTAATTTAGATCAATGGAATAATTAATGTAGCTGTATATGTAAGCCAATTAATATCCTGATTTTTTTCTCTAGGGAAACTTTGGGCACTAATATAAAATGCTTTCAGACCATTGGGTTTCTCAGCTAAGAAGTGAAGGAATAAAATACAGGGATTAGATAGATCTTTCTTCTTCCCTCTTGCAGATCTGCCTAATGGATCCTTTCTTGGTAATTCTTGAACACTGGGCTGGTTCTGAGGGGCGGCTTGGCAGTGTGATAGTTCGGCAGGCCTTTGTAGAAACCAACATGTATTCATTTGACCTTTTTACCAGGCATTCTGAAACTCATGGCATTAAAGTTCCTGTCTTGCTTTCACTTGGATGGTCATAGAGCCAGATGAGTTTATGTACTGCCTCACTCTTTAAATATCTTGTTTCCCCCGGTGGGAAGAGAGATCTTTGTAGATTTCCCCTGATTCTGAGCAAGGTCCCATGCCATGTCTGTCCTCCCAACAGGGAGTCAGAGTTGTTTTTTTTTTTTTTTTTTTTTTTAATACATTTGACCCAATTTGTACCAAAGTGATTGCTCTATTTTTGGGATCAGTTTAGAGGCAGCTGAACGAAGCTTGTTTTTCATCTATAGTAAATACCTTTCATTTCATGTGGATGACAAAACAAAGGGCAGAGGCTAACCCAGGTTGAAAAGCTGTACATGTTGGGGAGCTGGTGATTTTCTTTGCCTGACAGCTCAGTGGGAAATGTGCAGAATGAGCAGTTAGAGTGAGACTCAGGCCAGCTTCATGGCAGTGTTTTTGCCCGTTTCAGGTCATTTGTAGTGAAATTACTACTTTCGTTGGGTAAGAAATTTGGCCATCCCCACGGGCCCAATGTGTGTTTGGTTCGGTTTGTATGAAACACAGCTAGCTTTGGGGATTTGGAGACTACCTTTGGGGCAGTAAGTTTTCCCAGAGTTAGATTTAAAAAAAAAATGTAAACAATTCAGTTTCTATGCAGCTTTCATTTGTGGACTCACAGGGACTGGTGGAGGCTGGAGCCATGGAAACGGTGCAGCTTACTCCGTTCCCACAGTGTTATCCCTCCCAGTTCAGTCCATAGCAGCATTTTCTCAACTTCTGTTTATTAAAAGCATATATCATTTATTTTCTTACTGGTGCTGGGGGGGGGGGATTCCTGTGCATCAGGTATCAGAATGAGGATGATTACAAGTTACACTTTCCCAGGTTGACAAATGCCTCATTTCATAACCCAGCCTTCAGCTTCTCATGAACAGTTCTAGGTCTGCAGCCTTTTTTTGGTGCTCATCCTCCTGAGCTGGCTGCCTCTAGATGCTTAGTGAGCCGAACTGCCTCAAATTAGATATGTCCAAAATGGGGAGTCTGACCTGCCAGTTCAGACCTTCTTGCTGTCTGCCAAGGACTCCACCCACCTCTAAACCTGCTCTCAGGCTGGAGAGCAGGACCTTTCTGTCATTAGGTACTTTATCCCTTTGTCTAGCAAACAGCCTGGCTCTTACCAGATGTTCAGTAAATGCCTGTTGAGCAGTTTTACTGAGTCTTTGAGTCTTTTCTCATCTTGTTATTGAGGCCTGTCTATTTGTACTTTAACCTTGTAGACTTTTTTATTTATCTGGTATTGGGATTGACCTTTGCTCTAAGCTACATCCTTGCCCTTTTTGGCTTTTTTCTTTTTGACTCTTTCTCCATGTGAAATACTTGTGTCTCTCCTCTACCTGTTCTTCATATTAACCATTTGAAGCTGCTTGAGAATAATCTCAATTTTTTTTTTTCCTATTCAAGAGCCCTTTTCTGACTCTGGTCCAAAGGAACAATCTTATGTGTACCTCTCTCAAGGCACCTTGCATATAAAACACCATATACTTTTGTTATTTATATGGACATCATTATCTTATCAAAAATCTCCAGAGTATAATTCGGGATGAACTATTTCTGAATCCCCAGCCCTGCCCGGCACAATATGCACAGTAGAAATTCAGTAAAGAACGGTGAGACTACCACATGATCAAGTTTAGAAGTGCCTAACCTCTTCCTTCCTGTGAGCCACGTTTAGGATTTTTCTTAGATGTCAAGTCCTTCTGTGAATTCCTTGGTGATGATTGGCAGGGCATTTGTGGAAGGTATAAGTTCTTCTTCCTGAAAAGCTCGTGGTCTGTGACTCTGGTAGACCACTGGCTGAAGGAGCCTTGAGAGCTGACCAATTTCATATATTGGGCTCTGGTTCTGGGGCTCACAGTAGTAAAGAGTGGAGACAGCCTGTCTGGAAAGCTGTGCTTGGCTGTGGTCATTTGTCTGTGGGACTGAATGCCTTTCGGTGGCCCGGAATGTGTGGGACAGTCTACTGTGACTGCTTTGTCTCTATCATTGGGTGATATCCTGTGTACAACGTTAACTGTGCACAAAATGCAAACCCATTGGATCTGTATGTTCGTACAGTTTAGCCTCTTTTAGTTTTACACAGAGTGGGGTGAACTAGTTTAGAACCCGACACACAGTTTTGTGATAGGGCTCATTGGGCTTAGCCTAAGAGGTGTCAGTTCTGTACTCCCTCTGTCCTGTGTCATTTCTGTGTTTCCGTTTCAGTTGTACTTTCTTATCTTTGCTTTACTGTTTTTCAAGGACAGTTCGTGTGCTGCTCCTTCAGTTCAGTCTTCAGTGATACTTGACTGTTCCCCACCTGGCACCCCCCACTTACATGTGTGTTTTCTCACTGTGCTCTTGGAAGCATGGTAATCACTCCTGTTTCAGCTGTCAGCCCCTTTCCACCTTGTTCTGTAACTCTTACAGAAAGTGGCTGGAGTATGATTGTTCAGCCGATGGGCTTTGGGGTCTGACAGGTGACTGACTGGTTAGTTGAGTGATTTTAGATAACACTAGAATATGAATTCCTAGAGTCTGAGCCTGATTCAGGTCTGTTCCTTTGTGAACTTACTGTGTGCCTGGAAGACAGTAGGAACGTAAGTAGATGCACAGTGAATAAATAAGTGAATTACTACCCAAAGGCTCCACAGTGTGTCCTT